TTCCAGTCTATCTTTGAAACCTAGAACATAAAAACTATTTCACTCTTAAGTTTACTACACGCACTAGTGTAACACTCTGGAGAAGCTTTCTTCAATCATGCACACGATTGTATGTGCACTTCAGAGAGGTACCCTGGCATGCTGATTTCCCAGAAGTGGTTTTGGAGATTTCTCCATAATGCTGCCTGGTAGGCACTTCCTTGCTTCTACACAAATGCGAGAGGTGACCCTGCTTAAGCCCTGTTATGTTGATTTTGTGATCCCTTTCTGTCACACCACTGCGGGTCCTTTGCTCATCCACCCTGTCAGTCGCTCCCTCGCAGGGCTGCTAGTTACTCTCTCCCTCCCTCATCGCTCCCAGCTCAAAGACCTCCTGACAAGGTCAGCCATCCTGCTGGCAAAGACGCCTCTGTCCTGCCTTAGCGAGGTAGGTCCCATCTCTCCCAGACAGACCCTGCAAAGAGGGTCCCACGGTTGGAGAACCCAAAACCCTGTTGGCAACACCAGCTCCACAACCAACTGCTGACGCGCGTTGCCAGCACCCTCATCCTCGCACCCTTTCCCTTACTGGAAGGATGAAGGAGACCACTACCCAGACCCCGGGTCCCTGACAATCACCCCCAGGGCTGTGTAGTCAGCATGTATGCAAAACTGATATTCTATGCAATACGATACATACTGACTTGCAAAAGTTACACATCCATGATTTCAGCACTTCTCAGAGCAAACACTTTAACAATCTAAGAACTCAATTCAGTGTTTAAAAGAAGGTATATATATAGAGAGAGAATATCCTGCATGGGATTAGTACCATTACTGGGTGAAATACACTTTTTAACACATATCCAAAATGAATGCTGGCAGTAAGACAACACTGTGAAACCTTAAGCTGAAATGAAAGAAAACCTGAAGCCTGAGTAGGGTGAAAAGAATTATAAAGTTTTCCTTATTTGACTGGGTAAAATTTAATTTATCAAGGAAACAAAACTTGTTAAAAAAAGAGCACTATGTAATGATTACACTTAAACTGCAGAAAAAAATTAATACTCTGAACACCATTTAAAGGACATAATAATGGAAATTAAGTGCCAAAAATTCCAAGTGCTCATGCAATTTATATCTAATTTAACTTGGAAAGGCAGCCAATGACTTCCAAAAGAAGAGTTTTGTTCTTAATTTCTTTTCTGGAAATTACACAAGTTACATCCACCCTCTTACAAAACCATTTTCTCATCTTTTACTTAGTATGAAAAAAAATCACTAAAATATTAATCCAAAGCTAAAGTGTAACAGCAAGAATAATTTTGAGATGCGTTTATTCTTAAAATACCAGTTAATTAAAAACCATAGCATTTTTTAAAAGCCAGAACAGCAAGCTAATATACTAGAGAAGTGCTACAAAGCAGGTGGAAAGCAGTAAGCATTACTGGATGTACAGTAAGCAGGTGGAAAACCTTTCCTTCTCAAAGTTGTTACTGTGCATCTAAAAGAACCAGCCAACTTCTAAGTGGTCCTTATTGAAATAACTGAAATAACAACTTGTTAGAAGAATATAGACAATATATACAATTCTGTGAATTAGTTACAATTGAGAATACAATGTAACACTAAATATAAACATCAGAACCAAAAGACACACTGAAACAAAAACAAGAGATGTAGGTTCTGCTCCTGGTTTATTCCATGACCTTATGAAGACTCCCTCTCTGTGCTCAGTAAACATTCCTATTATATAAAGCTTTTGAATGCTTTATAAAGCTCTCAAGAGCATTACACAGATTTTTTTACTTTTATATGCACTTTTTTTTAAAAAAATCAAAATACGTATTTTTAAAATACTGAAGTACTGCAAAACCACTTTTTATACAAGGATCTGTTAAAGACTTCACCAAGTTGATCTTTGGAAGGAAAAAATAGTAGTAAATTTTCTGTAAAAATTATAGAACTGAGATTCCATTTGAAAGCTTTCCAGTCTTTCTCCCAATTGTAGAAAGCCATGTGCATGTTACAAACTGTCCCCAACAGTCAGCCTGATTCTACATAGTTTTTCACCATTTGGTATTAGGTGAAATAGGCCGTATAAATTAATTAATTTTGTGAATTTAAGCAGTCTAAAGCTGTTCTGTGAGAGTGAAGTTCCTCAAATACGCATCAGGACACTTCAAAGTAAACCAAGGCATGAGCCAAATGGCTTCTCAGGACCACCTGGAATTCTGAAGCCACATATGCATATCCTCCAAAGAGCTGGAAGCTTCTCTGTGCTATATTTTTGGTCTCAATCCAGGCAGCCATAATGTCTTACATGTCAGAAATGCTACACAAACTAGGTGTAGACCTATGTTAGAGATATTGTCTTCCGGACCTTGTTCTTTTTTTGCTAAGTATCTCTCTCATCTACAAAGACTATTTGTCTACACTGGTTACAACAAACTGCGAGAAGACCTCAGCAACGATCATAGCGTATTTCAAAATGCACTTTGCATCTCTGGAATCACTGCAGCCTTCTGTGATACATCTGATGCTGTCAAGAACAGGTTTCAGGCAAAATGTTATATCGACAGTGTCAGATGAATATGTTTTATCTCAGCCACATTATATTCATTGCAACGTAGCAGATGCCAAAATCCAGAAGTAGACCCAGAGGCCAAACAAAAATGACAATGTACCAACAACAGGTTCTTCAGCATTATCATTTGTCCATTCTCACTAGCAGACCTTCCACTCCTGTATGCTACGCTTTCACGCATCTAGCTGTAGAAGTGATTATCTGCTGTCCTACATCAAAGAAATTAAAAATTCCCAAGACCACTTCGTAGCTATAGTACTAACAAGACTGACTCAATGAAGGCAATTCACACAACAAAGACAGACATTTCAGTCATGCTAGTATGATCCTGGACTGTTCAAGCACAGTGGTCACACTGTTGAAGACTGCTCAGTACAAAGATATGATTATCTTAACTGAAGGACTTACCCACCTAATACATAGTGCCATAAAATCTTCGGTCTGGCTATGAAAAGCTACACTTCAGAAACCACAATAGGATTCATCAACAAGTTATGCAATAAAAAAACCAGCTTCTCAGTGTGACTCACACACGGGCTGATCACCAAAAAAAAAAAAGGAGTAAGCCTTTACAGCATGAGATTTGTGGTAACTGTAGCTAAGGATCACCAGAGCAACTACCTGGTGATCCTTACTCACAAACTACCCTGGATTCCTTACTCACAAATTACTGCACCTTCACATTTAGATCAGCAAGAATTGTCCAAACTTTACTACTTATTCAAGCCACCAAGAAAATTGTCATTCTGTATTAACCTATAGCTTCTCATCTCCTCTCAGTCTACATTCTGACCAAACAACCTCAGAAATGCAAATACTAATTTTCAACCCTCCCTCCAATTTCAGGCTTGATCTATAGGAACTTTAGTTATTTCTTCCAGCTAGTTCTTCATTGTTAGCTGCACTCAGTACTGTCACATTACTTTGTCAACTCAATTTTATTCTACCCATTAAATCCATCAGTGGCACACTCAAAGGTATTTAAATACAGTCATCTGTAGTTAAAATTAGAAGTGCTGACAACTACATGACCATACCATTCACCGTTCATCTCCACCCTACAGAAGACATTTTGAAAAGCAAGATTCTCTGTATAGTCTCACTGAAAATGTTTGAGGACACAGTTTTGAAAAGCACCAGAACCTTCTGAAATCCACAAACCAGTGCTCTCCTTTGGGAAATAGCCCTAACCAAGCAGGGTCAAGGGGGTCCAGTATTCTACACACAACTTCCCAGGCAAAAGTGCTTCTGCAGTAGTCACTAACAGAATAGGCACATCTTGCAGGAAAAGATTTGCTACTGGAGAGATTCAAATAGTGGTACAGCTCCATGCTGTATCACTCATGTATCATAAGCAGTTGTTCATTATTTGGTAAGAGTGGATTTCATCTAGTCATCATTGATATTCAATGTAAAATCCCAGCTTGGGTGATCTACCCACAGCATGGTACATACTCCAGCTGCAACTCCTCCCTATTACAAGGACAGGTGTATGACTGACTTTTTTTGTTTGGATTTATGAGCTAATTAAACTCAGATTATAATTTAAAAGAAGATTTAGCTGATGTAACTACTAAGTGCTGTGGTCCTTGATGTTCTTTAATTACAGAGCCTGTGCTTGTCTACCTCTGCCCTGAACCATTCCTGCTTGCTAACCCGATTTTTAGACATAAAACTAATAAGATTGCAGGAAAGAAAAAGAAGGCTGTACAATGTTTCTGCCATACTAGTTAGAACTACAGACTCAGAAAAATGCCTGGTGATAATTGGCATTGCCAGGGCAAAAGAGGGCAATGAATCTCACGGCCAACCAGGAGTAGAAAGGTTAAGACCAGAAACAGCAATTCCCATAGCATAAGCTGCCACAGAACCAAAAGCCTAGGCCAAAATCTTATTTTGACTGTTTTACAGGTAAATGAGGCAATCTACTTAAATGAACTCCTAGGTTTTTTTAGACCCATTTAAAACCTAATTTGAAAAGCATATGATAATTTGGTAATTTGCAAATTTTAGCTGCAGGTCATTTTTTTCCCCTATCTTTTCAATCCATTTTTTAAACATTTAAAAATATCTTGTGACACACTACCATATGCCTTTCTTTGAAGGGAACCTGACAAAGTCAGGCTCTGCTTTAAAGATGCACTTGTTGCTGTTCCATGTGTTAATGACAAACTCACTTTGAACCCGTATCACTAAGTTGAAGAAATTCCTAAAATCATTTTTAAGTTGTTATCCAGTGAACTATTAACACCCCAACACCAGGAAAAAACATGCAATGTTCATTAATACTGGATGTGCACTTTTCACTTACTGGTTTTTATTAAAAAGATTTTTAGTCCTGTTTTTCTTCTAATATAAATCATAACAGCAACACCGTATAAATAACTGCTATCAGATACAAGAATGGGTAGGACCACATCATCATCATCTTTACCTCTTTAATTTTGTTCCTCTTCTCTCGGATATCCGGGTCTGCTGGTTCTCCACTGTTTATCCCTATAAGGTTTGGTAAAGGAACAGGGGGCAGTGGCTTGCTGTCTTTCTTTTTCAACTCTTGCACTACTTTGTTCTTTTCTGTCTGAATCTCAGCTTGAATCTCATCACGCGATTTCTTCAATTTCTCCTTAGCCTCTTCCAGAGCCTTTTCATGATCTGCTCGGATCTTATTTCTCAGACGTTCCTCTTCTTCTCTAGAGACACAAATGCTAGTCAGCATCTCATTACTAAAAACACATTGCTTATAAACAAACTGCAGCTTCACAACAGAAGCCACATCCCAAGTTAGTTTACTCTAAGTAATTCTAATGATTCAGGCAAGTTTACTGAATTGTGTTAGTACACAATCCTACGCTATTTTTGCCATGAACCCCAAAAGAACAGCACACACATCCACAACACTATTGTAGAAAAATATATCAGAAGGGTTTTCTAGATTATGTCTCAGCACCTTTGCTTGCCTACTCAAGAATTTAGAGAGGAAAAGCCCTACATCTGTTCTTCAACTAGAGGACACATGCAGAGGCATGTTGAGCAATCATTCAGTTAAAAAATAAAATCAGAAGGGCTCTTCCTTGCCTTCTGTACAATAAATACATAGTACACAACTTCTCAAGATTGAAGTAACTACTGAAAAAAAAAAATAAAATCGCAGCCAGTACTTTTATTAATAATGAGGTGTAAGCTGCAAGGGCTGCAAACCCCACCACAGCATGTTTTGTCTTCAGTTCAGAACTCATTGTTCCAATCAGTACGGTCCATAAACCTCACAAGCTAAATGCAGAGTTAATTATAAAGCCATTTAGGAACGTAAGAGCTTTTAGTAAAGCATGATTTTGAAACTCACTGTCAATAAAACCAACATCATCTTGTTTCTAAGCACAATTTTCCATCATGATCTTTAATGATTAGTAAAAGTTCTGAGGTTCACACACAAAACGAAGACTGCTGTTTTAAAGCCTGGGTTAAACAAGAGGTTATTCTAACAACAGACAAAAATGGCCCATTCCAGTCCTAAAACATTTCAAGGCATCAGAAAGATACACATCAGACTCCCAATATAACACAACCTTTTCAAGCTTCTTTAAAATATAGAGTTGCTCAATGACTAATGTGAGCCAAAATAGTTGCAGGGATTTAAAACAAGCACTAGTTACAAAACACACACTCCCTCCCTGTTTCTCCCCCAGGCAAAAATACTTTCTCCCCAGAGCATTAAGGAGAAGACAGTGGATAATGGAAAGGAAAGGCGGCAAGCAGCAAACCATATATGAAATGCCAAGCTTGGCATAACTGCTTTTAGGAGGAACTGAGAGACTTGACCCATATCATGTGTTTTTTCCACTATACTGAAAACATACCAATGAAAAGGAACAACCACCATTTGGTATGTGAGAATTAGAATAGAAGAGTTCAGCTGGAAGGGACCTACAGCAGTCATCTAGTCCAACTGCAACTAAAAGCCAATCCAAAGTTTACAGACAAAAATAAACACGAGATTGACAACTGTTAACCAAACATTGACAATAAATACAGGAATGTATCTATGTATTTAAATTGGGATATTTTTCCTACAAAGGTTATTAGAAACATTTGACAAAGTCTATGATAAACGGGTAACATTTCCAAAGATTCAAACAAATTTTAAGTAACTCACTGGGGTGCTGTGTTGGAATATCTGGAGATATGGACAGATCTTACTGAGCTTTGCAAGTATAATAGAACTGTTTTTATTCATCTCACAGATCAAGATCATGTCACATCTGTTATAGAGCACTGCTTCACCTTTACAAAGAAAGGTCAAAGAATGAAGCTAGTAACGAATAACTTACACAGAGTTATGATACAATACTATCAGAGCAATCCCACCAGACTGGTCCATTTCCTGCAAGGTTTATAACAGTTACAGTCCTCTGCCTAAGGAGAGTTGATTTTAAGTCAAAGTGCAATAAATTAAGCTTTTAGTTCCAGAAATGCACAGTTCAAACCCCCAGTGCGCTAGCCCTGACTGCTATCTCATAAACATCCAGTATATTTTAAAGTTAAAATTTATACACTTCTTTGCTCCAGTCTTTAGCTTGGACTCAAAAGCTCAAATAGAGACTTTTTTTAGGCACGTGTTTTCTTCTCAATTTGACAAAGTCTAACATCACTTGATGTCATCCAGAAAATAACTTCCCAGTTTACAGGCCAATGTGCATAGCATGCAGGGGGAAAACCACGGTACTACAACATAAATGCTCTCAGCAAAATATATTGTTACACAAAGATTATTAGCCCTTACATTTTTCTTAAGTGCTATTAGGTTTGCATTTTAAAAAGTTATAGTAGCATTATTACCTTTCAATATTTCAGTACCAGAAATACAATGCAATGTTTTAACAGATGCACTGACTAAAAGGCATTCAAACTGAAGTTCTTCAGCCGCTTTTCTCAGTGTGACCCACGTCACATCCATGTTTCTCCCTAACAATAAAAACTGGACTGAGCTCCTCACTTTGACTATCAAATCCAAGCTCATTTTAACACTGTTGAACAGTAACAGTCCTTCTCTCCTTCAACTGTAGAGCAAAGAAACAACTTTCAAGGTGGTGAAAGACTAGTCTAAAGAGTGAAAAATACAAGTAATACCATTTAGGATAACTTTTACTTCTACTGTGACCCATTTATGGGGGGAAGATAACTTTCCTGTATTCCTGTAAAAGTTACTCACATTCTATTGTGGCAGCAATGTGCTCAATTCAATAACAAAAGCAGCTGAAAACTACTATCAACTGAAAAATTTGAAACCATAGATTTGTAGTCTGGAAAGCTTTTCCAAGGCTAGGAGAGGGCTCTGCGTAAGATGCAGCTGGAGAGAATGAGAACAAGGTCACCAGAACAAGACATCACTCCCCGCAGTCATGTTCTCACCAAGAGACAGCACGCTGTACAGGAGCCAAAGAGATGGCTTACAGAGAATGAGAAATAGGAAGAATCAAAATACTTCAGTGTGAGGATAATGTATTTTAGAGGTGTTTCTCATTTTCAGAACTCGGTTTCCTGGAGGCAAGTGACAGCCTTTACTTTCTGACTAGATCTACTAATGTTTTGTTAACAGATGTTGAAATTCTTTTTGCAAAGGATCAACCATCAACCATGAAAAAACTGGAATTTTAGGAAAACAGGGTAACAATGTATCTCAGACCTCAATAAAAAGATGTTCAAGGTATATTCACATTAACCTAATTTGAAGAGGATGGTTTACAACGAGTCTGCTTTATTCATAAATAGAAATGGTTTTGGTAAAACCCATGGTTAACATGCATGTCCCCAAACACGATCTCGTGTGAAAAAGATTAATGATGTTTGAGTGTTATAGTGAGTCTGAGTCACTAAAATGAGTCACTGGTGATGTGGTTTGTACACCTTCATGGTTTTGCACCATCAAAATCAAGTGCCATGAAGATTTTGCCTTTACCTTTCCTTTAAATTTTCAGTCCCAGGTGCTGCATACAACAGTAATAATAAAAGCTCCATCACTCTAGCAACTTCATCTATTTCTAGATTCAAACTGCATGAAACAGCCATAAATTGGAAAACAAGTTTTGAATTCACGTCTGTTTACACTGCAGGAACCACTATATAAACATACAAAAGCTGTTGATTTCTACAGCACTATAATCCAATTAGAGTCATTAAAGAGGTTTGAATGACAGTCTACTTTCCTTCAGTCACTCAGCAGAATACGTAAATATTTGAAGAAAATACACAGCAACTCAATAGAGATGAAAAATTCTAGCGCTAACTGTATGATCAGCTCCAAGTCTTCCAGGAAATGACATTCTGAGACAAACATAAGAAAACAGTAAGATGAAGAGAAAGGTCAAGAGGTATTTGAGGGAGTTTACAGGAGATAGTACAAGAGCTTCTTCTGCAGACAGATATTCTCTATGCAATTACCAATGATGGACAGCATGAGCTACAAGAAATGTCATATTCTACATTCCAGCTGAAGACATGTTTTACCAAATATATTCAAGTATATGACCCTAATGGAAGAAAAAGCACACCCCTAAATACCAACACCACATGTTTCTTCTGAGTTCTTAAGCAACAAGAACTAAGCGAAAATACAGAATAAAGTTAAGAGAATGAGAAGACTGGAAATGTGTGAGCAGCTGACACACACACCCCCCCCCCCAAGTCACACCCAAACACCAACAAGCTCCCCATCCAGCATAAGAAAGAGTCAGCAACAGTTTAATGCACATAGATAGCCCTACATTCAAATACTCAATCTAAAAATACAAGATTGGAAAGAATCCCAGCATAAACACATATACCAAAATGTGTCAAACAGTTTCCCTATCCAACTACCCACCCCACTTCTAGGCAACATAAGCAAACTCTTAAAACAGAGTATTCTGAGTACATCTTCAAAAACCTTACCTAACAGAAAGCTGCTGCTTCCTTCTAGTTACCCCAACAACTTACTCTAAAGTCTCAAGACAGAGGTTCAAGTACCATGAAACTACAGCAGTAGCTACTTCAAAACAAGCAATATTAATAAAAGAATCTGTAATTAGACTATTTTTGCCAGCAAGAACCATAAATAGACCTAATAATTAGAATCTGAAACTAGAAACAGGTGCAAGTTTTTTTAAACACTGTGATTAACTATTCCAGCTGCTTACGCAGGAACACTGTATACTCTCAAAGCATCCACAAACTAAGTGTCATTCAGAAAAGACCACAAATTATAACACTCAATAACCGAATCACTAACCAAAACTTAATGTGCTTTAATTATGCACCCAGTAGTGAGCCTTCTGAACTTAGCAGCTACTAAAGCTTCACTTGCCAAGACAATGACTTAACGTCTCTCCTATCTGCTGTGACACAACAGGCTCTCTAGAAACTGAATTGCAAAAAACCAAAAATGCTTTCAAACTTCTTCGTAAGATTCGAGATCAAAAAAGAAAATAAAAATTAGAATGGAGTCAAGAAAACTGGCCACCAGCAACTGTTCTCTCACACTAAAAAGCAGAGCACTGGGTCACTATAGCAAAAGGACAAGCAGCTTATTATCATTTGGATTTTCAGCAGATAGATATACAAAACTGTTAAGGTACACAAAGATTTGTGTAAGTGTCACCCAGAAACAAACCCCTGTGCAGAAATTCTGAACTTCTACCCTTTTGTCAAGTTTAAT